AATATATATAATAATATAATAATAATAAAATTAAAAAATTGTATGTACAAAACATTCTTACTCATTATTTTACGGTAAACATCAGATTAGCTGCCTGTTCCACTTAACGCTCTCAACGCTCGCGAGCATTATTTGCCCTTGTTCAACATTTGATAAACAACAAAGATGAAATGATTCCACGAGTGTGTGTGTTAAACGGAATGCAGCCTAAGTATCAAAATTAGGATACGGGATTTTACGTCAATTTTAAATACACGGCATCTCATACCTTCCCCAATCTGAACGATAATATAACACATACACAAGTATAATTAAGCAGCAAAAATAATCGGCACCATTATAAACGATCCCAAATTCCTGCTGCATTCGCGGTTTCGTAAACGGCCACAGAAATTATGCATTGTAGCGAAAGAATTGATAAAATGTAAAACTACATCGTCTACCATCTACCGTCTTTACAATTGGAGAATTCTGCATATGTATGTATATCAATGCACATATCGAGGAAGATCTCAAGTTCCTCAAGAATCTCATTGTAAACAAGGACGTCATGGTCTGATTGAACACTCCATCGTGGGTACCTCCTTCCAATTTCGCAAATTTTTCTTGCCGAATTCCACACATTGTACTGTATTCACGGTATGTCTACCTGTTGTCTACCTCACACAACTGTGAAACAATACATGTTCATAAATAAAACAGAAACAAGTTCCCCCTCATTGACAATTTAATTCTTACATGTGAGATCATGGTGGAAGGGATCGACTCGACCTTCCACCATGTGTGAGGCCACATTGAAAAAAATGTACGTAATTTTACATGGAAATTACACGTATATGACTGGAAAATTATCTAAATTACATAAATATGCTCGGAAATTTACTGGAAATTGTAAATTTCCATGTAAAATTACATGCATTTTTTTCAGTGCATTACGCGACTACCAAGATAACTTTCAATATCCTATTTATACGTCTGATTCCGAATTAACAATCATAAGGACTTATAAACATATAAGGACTATGGGCAACACCATATGGAGGCACGATCCCATCCCAGATAGCAAAATATTTACAGTCTTCTATCCAGTGAGAAATGACAATGGAATCGATTCGATGTCGATTCCATTGTCATTTCTCACTGGGTAACAGACTGTCAGCAGGGGGTCGATTGTGTATCTCGAAATAAGGTGAAAATTACAAAAGTGGGTAAATTTACTAGAATACTCATAATTTAATTAGTCAATATCTAATAAATATACTCATTTTTGTAATTTTCACCTTATTTCAAAATACGCAATCGACTCTCTGATTCGAGCAGAAAATGACAGTCTGCTATCAACTGCGTCCGCATTAGATTTGTGTTCTATTAATATCGCCTATCGACATAATGTGAAGGCAAATCGTTGACAGAAACCGAGCAGATCCTGCCAACATTTACTACGTTTACACGGTTCGATTTACGTCAAAGTTATAACATCGATGTTATGAAACTGGCCAACCATAGCTACTTCTCAGAAGAATGGAATGACTGTGATTGGTCAGTTTCCTAACATCGATGTTATAACTTCGGCGTAAATCAAGCCGTGTAAACGTAGTCATTATCTGATTCTGTTATGTTTTTTTTAACAGTCTGTCAACAGTGACTACGTTTACACCGTGCATTTAGGCCGCGGCCTAAATGCACGGTGTAAACGTAGCCAGTGGACGCATTCAGCGGATTCAACAGTTGAATGGGCGCTCGCTGTTATTGATGTATTCTTTCAGCTCATCCAATCAAAATTTTAGATCTAGAAGAATACATCAATAGCAGCGAGGGATCACTCAACTGCTGAGTCCGCTGAATGCAGCTAGTGGGTGCATTGACTACGTTTACACCGTGCATTTAGGCCACGGCCTATACAATAGATGTCCTTGTTTAACCTACAGGATAAACAAGAACATCTATTGTATAGGACGCGGCCTAAACGCATGGTGTAAACGTAGTCATTGGCTGCGTTCAGCAGAGAAAGCAGCTTTGCAACTGTTGTAAAATTCTTTAATATGATTGGTTTATACATTTAGATCTGTAAGGAACCAAAAGCAAGAACCAATCGTATTGAAGAATTTTACAACAGTTGCAAAGCTGCTTTCTCTGCTGAACGCAGCCATTCAGTACTACAATCGCTCACTGAGCGCTCAATGAGTGCTTACATCTTATTGGTATATTCCGTATAGAACTAAAAATATAGACCAAACAGATACAAGAGCTCACTGAGCGCTCAGTGGCTACGTTTACACCGTGCGCTTAATCCGCGACCTATACGATAGGTGTCTTTGTATAATATGCAGGATAAACAAGGACGTCTATTGTATAGGCCGCGGACTAAATGCACGGTGTAAACGTAGTCAGTGAGCGGTCGTGGTACTGACTGAATGCACCCATTATTATGTATCTAAAGGCCGTAGCACAGACTCTTGCTTGACGCATAGTGCATAAGCGAATCAACTAATCAGACTCTTTCCTTTCCTTCCATTCCATGGAAAAGAAGAATTTCGATTGGTCGATTCCCTTATGCACTGTACATTATGCGTTATGCAAGAGTCTGTGCTGCGACCATAATTCTGTAAGACTGGAATCAGACTACGCATTGAATATTGAGATTGAAGATTGAAAGATTGAAATTTGACCAATCAAAACAATAGGAGCTAAAATTCCTTTTTCCTCACTGGTCAAATTTTAATCTTCAATCTTCAATCTCGATCTTCAATGCGTAGTCTGATTCCGGCCTAACAATTCTGTTATTATTTTGTTGGCAGTGTGTAGCAGCATTTAAAAAATCTACTTTCTACAGACTCTCTCTAATTGGCTATCTGGGATTCTGTCATTTGATGAAAACAAACCAATAAAGTATCTCATCGTGGTATACGTACGCCACGTGGGCGTACAATAAAATGCTCGTGCAGCAACAATTAATGGTGCAACCTTTAAAAATTGATGTTTTAGATTGACTATCGCAACAAGCTTGTAACTAACATAGAACCAACTTAAACCATGTCGTAAATATCTGAACATCTCTTCCAGTTGGTTATACGACGGTTGACGACAATAACCAAAAATTGGTAGCTAATAGTATGCTAATAGCATAATAATATGAAATTCCAGTGCGCATGTACAAAAAAATAGACCAACAATATGGCGGCGTTGTTTGGCTGATCACATCACGGCGATCACGCTGTTTATGTGTTCACAATTTATTCCTGTCCGAGAAAGTCGTAATCAATCGTCAACGTAATCGATAATGACTACCGAGGACTCTAAGATGACACGTGGCCGTGGCAACGCGACGAACAAGTCGACGACAAAACGGTGAACGTGCGATAAAGTATACGAGATTGATGTCGATCGACGCTGCCGTCGTGAACTTCATTCCGGCCAATCCTTCCCGTTCGACCGAATGCCAAACGTTAGCGACTCCATATACAAATACGTTTAGTCTCGTGAATAAATTATGAGCGTGGACAGCGAGAACAAGTCGAGCGAGTCGCGAACTATCGCGCCGTACAACGCAGAAAACGGCACTGACGGTGGTACCGAGGGTGGACCGGTGACTCCGGAAATGGTGCTCCGATTGCCCACTATCACGGACAGTATGTTTGTACTTGGAATTTAAATACCACTGCTTCAGTAGCTGCTTTCCGTTCAGGAGACAGTCGACACAAATGGATTGAAAGGGATTGTTAAGAAGGATAGAATGACGTTTGTGTTGACTGTTTTTTTTTTTTATTATATAAAAGAAAAGCATCTGTGTGGCCGGTATCCATAGTCAGATCTTATTTCAAGACCATCTTATGCCTGGTTTATGCTTAACCCTAAAATCCTAAAATTCAGCCAATAGGTCTGCCAGTCTTAATTGGTCCTAACTGAAATCTGTATTCCATTGGTTAAATTTTAGGATTTTAGGATTAAGACCGAAACATAAACCAGGCATTAAGTAATGTCTTAAGACGCTAATGCGGCCCTCTGATTGATTCGTGACATCTCAAGACTGAACTTAAGACGGTATTGAATATAAGAACTTACTATCACTGCTTTCCATTTGATGACACAAATCGACACAAGCGTCGTTCTATTCTTCTTGACATTCAGAGAGTGACAAAGATAGAGCGAAACTTGTGTCGACTGTCTCCTAAAAGGAAAGCAGCCTATGAATACTTGCCTGTTTCTACTCTTTTAACCCTTAATACAAACAATGATCTTCCAATGTTTTACTACACAAAATGAGTCTTCGTGTCCTAACTTAATTTTCATCACTTTAACAAATATACAAGAATTATTAAGTGATTCTTACATATATTCTTTAGAAAGTATTTATAAGAATTGTATATAAACTAATTTGATAATTACTAATTACTCGATGCTTTTAATTTTTTGATTCGTGCAGGACACAAATGTGACCTAATTGTGGTACTAAGGGTTAACATTTATTGCTTGTCAAATCACTTTCACTTACATAGATAACAATATGTTTATAGAATATCTCTGCTCTCCCGAGGCCAATATCTACGACATAGACTTCACGAGATTCCAAATTAGGGATCTAGAAACTGGAGCTGTACTGTTTGAAATAACAAAGCCCCCCGCTAGTGGTGCGTAACATATTTTAGATGTCATTTTCTATAATTAATTTTAATATTTTAAAGACTCCTATGTAGTAAAAAAGTGATTGTGGGATTATATTATTTAAATGTTATACAATGCAAAATTGTATAATAAAATTTTAATATATATGATTATGAAAAAACAAAGTATTAATTGTAGATTTAAATATAAATCGAGCTTTAAATATCAATTGCACACATCTATATTTTTAATTTTTTGTAATTTAGCAGAATGCGATGTTCATCAAGAACCGGAACCAGATTGCGAAGAACTCGGATCTGAAGATGCAAACACGGGACGCTTTGTGCGATATCAATTTACGCCACAATTTCTGAAGTTAAAGACGGTCGGAGCGACAATTGAATTTCTAGTAGGGCCTAAGCCGATCAATAACTTTCGGATGATAGAACGGCACTTTTTCCGAGACAGATTGCTGAAAACCTTCGATTTTCAGTTCGGATTCTGCATACCAAACAGCAAAAACACATGCGAACACATCTATGAGTTTCCAACGTTGCCTGCGGATCTAGGTGAGTCGCTAAAACGAATTTCAACAAATTCGGCATATACCTGAAATTGTACGGCGAAAAAATCATAATTCTAAACAACATGCATGTCTTTTCAGTTTCCGAAATGATCGCGAATCCATTCGAGACGCGATCCGATTCTTTTTATTTCGTCGACAATCAGCTTGTGATGCACAATAAGGCCGACTACGCTTACAACGGTGGGCATACAACGCACGATGTATTGTAATGTGCAGTTTGTTGATTAGTATTATTGCAAGTGATATATATAGGATTACAAAAATATATCACGGTTACATGTTACAGCGATGATAATGATGATGATGATCGGTTTGCACATTTGGCTAGCGTTTGACATTTCGTGTTTCGGCACAAAACGAGCTTAAAAATTTGCAGATCAGCAAATGATCCATGAACACGCGATTACTGTTGCAACGGAAATGCTTTAATCTGAAGCTATACTTGATTTGTTGACAAATTGAATAGTTCCTATTTTTCTTTAGTATAAAAGAACAGTAATTTATTTATAAATTATTAACGAATCAAAGTGATATTTAATTTTATAAACTCTTTAATGGCATCTGTCCTTACGCGATGCATTCGCTAGCAGCGAATATCGTTACTTAAGCACATGTAGCACATTGACACACGTGGCCTCTGAGTGGAATTACATCTAGTTCCACGAGCTTTCTAATCATTGAAGCCTATTCACAATTTCCACGGTAATATGTGCGATGGAGGGCAAACTGAATTAGGAATTGCGTTTTTTGATGCTCAACGGCGCTTTTCTGTCGCAATTACATAACTTACAGTTTCTTTCCACTCTTACACGACTATTATTGTTTAAATACTTTTCACATTGTTCTGTAATATTGTGAAGTTCATCCAAAATACACGTATATATTTACAAAGGATGTTTGACTTTTTTTCTACATATTCACAAATATCACAAGGCCGAGTAATTTATAAAGGTTGTTAAAAGATCGACGAATTCGCTAGGCTTATCTGCGTGAACCCAGTGACTTGCTCCATCAATATAATGAAATTCCGCCATGGTAAATAGTTTCTTGATTGAATCGTGATCTTTCATTTGAATATAATCACTATTAGCACCGCCTACAAACAACGTAGGACCATTGTAGATTTTTGAGCCTATATTAGGAAATACAGCTATCTGAGTCGAGAATGCCTGCTCCAGCACTGGCAAATTAACTCGCCATTTGTATTTTCCCGCGTCTGCTTCCACCAAATTTGTCAGTATGAACTACACAAACGTAATACAAATATGACTCTTATGCTCATGTCTACTAACGTAGTTTAATTTTAATCTTAGTTCAACTATATCTTTTTAGAGAATTAAAAAAAAATTTTTTAAAAGAGAAAAGCATAAGTTGAATCAAGATTGAAGCTAATCTACATTGGCAGAAGAAACAGGCATTATGCTGAAAGTAAAATAAAACCAGAAGAAATGTTACCTGACGCATCGAACTAGATTTAATAGACTTGGACAGTTGTTGATCCACTGTTTTTCGTGCTTTTGACAGGGTGAAACTTCCGTCCACCATCACCAAACGCATGGCTTCAAAAATCCTTTCCATTTGCATAAGATTAGGGCTAGTTCTCACAGGAGACATATCAACGACCACCAATTTTTTAACGTGTTGTGGAAAATTCAATGCGGTATACATAACAGCCGAACCACCCATACTGTGGCCAACTAGGACGGCTTTCTTAAAGCCTAGGTCTTTCAAAAGTTGAATCATATCCCCTGCCATGTCCTTGTATGACATGTTTGATGAATGTGGAGAATCACCATGATTTCTAGCATCCACTGCTATGACCTATGCATTTATTTTCTTAAGCGCAACACAAAATTATTTCATACTAATAACGATCTATAAAATGCATAGTCTTATGTTAAGAGATATTAACAAATTTATTGTAATTCAAGTTTAATCTCATAGATTATCAGAGAGTACTAATAATAACCTTGCGCTTAGTCTTTTGATGAATCGCCTTCGACAACGAGTTCCAATTGTTTTTCGAGCCAAAGAGACCGTGCATTATAATAATAGGTTCTTTCACATCTTGCTCATGTTCCTTCACTGACTCGTACGAAGTGTAAGCGAGTTTTACTGGTACGGTTCTTGAAGAAGAAAATACTTAGACAATAATAAGATTGAAAGACCGCTAATGTTAAACATAATAATTTTTAAATTAAGAAGCGCCATAACGGTCAGAACGTTAAGATGTTGAACTATTGTAAATTCATTTAAATGAATTAATTCTCAGAAATGATAATTGAAATGAAAATACTTAGGTTAGAAACAGGTGCCACAAATTAATCCGCATCCCACTGTGCGAATACTCACAATAATAAATTGCTGCGCAAACATTGGCGACAGGAGGAATGCAGACTTTTAGCCGAGCGATGCAAGGTGGGTTTCCTCCACGGAAGGAACACTGATAAATTTCGGCCTATCATTATTAAGATACCAATCACACTCGCACGTATCTTCTGTTCTTTATCTAACAATCACAGAGGCCTCTGATAGCGCGCATGATTGCTATTTATAAATTCTTGTTATCGAAAACCATCCAAAACAGACTTAGCGGCCTCACGCCTCGGTGTTTATAACATAACTTTCTTCATTTTTTGTTGCCAATTTACAGCATACATTTGAATTCATAGACCAGAGTGAGTCAAGGCGAATATACATTATGAGCCAGTTTCACCAAACCAGTTAACTTAATCGGCCGTTGACTGACCAATCGCGTTTGCTGTTTAGTAGAATTGACCAATTGCGGTTGACAGTTAATCATCGATTAAGTTTAATTGGCTTGGTGAAACTGGGTGTAAGCGTTACTGCATCAATTTGTGGGTTTGTAATTTCGTCCAATCCAAATTGGTGATTCGAGACAATTATGCGGGGTCTGCAATAGAAGTCGTAGCGGTCGTAGGGTCTTAAGTCGTAGAAAATTGACCAATCACAGTTGATTATTCTTCTCATATTCGACTGTGATTGGTCAATTTTCTACGACTTAAGATCCTACGATTGCTACGACTTCTATTGTAGACCCCACATTACTTTGCAATACTTTCATCATAATTTAAAGATATTTCGTATCTTTTACGTTTGTCATATTGAAATTGAAGATCTATCATTTAAAAATTTTTAGTATCATTTGTTTTGGTTTCAGAATCATTTTCCTGTTTAGCGATCCTAAAATGATAATTAAAAATAACAATTGACTTGATATGCTCCACTTTTCGAAAGATTTATAACGATATCGATATCTCGAGCAGACAGAGCATTTTGAGGAAGTTCTAGGCCGGTATTCATAGTCAGATCTTATTTCAAGACCGTCTTAAGTAATATCTTAAGATGCTAATACAGCCCTCTGATTGGTTCGTCTCAAGACTGAACTTAAGACGGTCTTGAATATAAGAACTGACTATGAATACCGGCCCTAGAGTATTTTAATTATCCTAAAGCCGTCTGTATTACCGACTAAATCGTAACGATCGTAATTGGGTGCATTCAGTACTACAACCGCTCACTGAGCGCTCAGTGAGCTCTTGCATCTGATTGGCATATTCCGTTAGAACTAAAAATATAGACCAAACAGATACAAACGCTCACTGAGCTCTTGAATCTGGTCTATATTTTTAGTTCTAACGGAATATGCCAATCAGATGCAAGAGCTCACTGAGCGCTCAATGAGCGGTTGTAGTACCGAATGCACCCAATGCATCCATTCATACGCTCGCGAGCATCGTGTCATCGGCTGCGTTCAGCAGACTCAATAGTTTTGCAACCGTTTTATGATTGTCTGCTGAGATAGGACCATTCTTCTAGATCTAAAAGTATGATCCAATTAGCGCGAAGGAAATTTCCAACAGTTGCAAAACAAACGTTCTGCTGAACGCAGCCATCCTTATGCTGGAGTCCCACGAGGCATATTTGCCGCGTATCGCTTAACCAATCAGTAATCAGTAAGATACGAATCACAGTTGATCACAGCAGCGGATCGCTTCTGATTGGTTACGCGGTTACGCGATACGCAGTAAATACGCCTAATGGGACTCCAGCATTATTAGGTTTGTCGCGTCGTATGCTCCAACATGTTCCAATATGCTCCTATCGTAGCTTTTACTCACTCCAACGCGCTTGGTAGAGTGAGTAGGAGATATAGTAGGAGCATGTTGGAGCATGTTGGAGCATACTACGTGACAAACCTCTATTGGCTGCATTCAGCGGACTCAACAGTTGAGTGAGCGTTCGCTGCTATTGACGTATTCTTCTAGATCTAAAATTATGATTGGATGATCTAAAAGAATACACCAATAACAGCGAGCGCTCACTCAACTGTTGAGTCCGCTGAATGCACCCATAGGCTGCGTTCAGCAGACTCAACAGTTTTGCAACCGTTTTATGATTGTCTGCTGAGATAGGACCATTCTTCTAGATCTAAAAGTATGATCCAATTAACGCGAAGGAAACTTCCAACAGTTGCAAAACAAACGTTCTGCTGAACGCAGCCATTGTCATCAAATGTTAAACAAGGATGAAATGATACACGAGAGTGTGCGTTAAAGAAGGCAACCCGATTGCACGAATTACCGGCGTGGGTGAAACCGGAGACCCTTCTAGATGAAACCGGCCCTATACATATATATATGTATGACATTTTATTGAAGAAACTTTAATTTCCGCATGATACGTGGCGACATGCAATGCATACATATTGCATACGTGGCGCTGTGGTAGCAACATGCCGCTGTGAGTGAGGTGAGTGGCGAGCGATCGGTAGGTATAGGCGGGATAGAAACATATGTCATTCTTATGATTATATAGTAAAATTCAAGCGAAGAAAATGAGGTGGCTTTGCTCGTGCTTGTTCCTCGTCTTATCCATCGTCAACGTACGTTGTTACTTCATCACGGTTGACGCCCATGCCGAGGAATGCTTCTTCGATAAGGTCGAATTCGGCACCAAGATGGGTTAGTTTTCTACTGCGCTTCATTCATTTTGTTCCGTTTTAAGCGAGTATCTTCGTCGACTGTTCATTAGTATAATTTAGATTAATCTTATCAATTGTTTTATTGATTGTTATATAATAATTACTAGTTTATCGATTTTTTTACTTTTTTAAATATTTGCCACTACCGTTTTAAATATTTGTCTCTACTGTTTTTTACTTATGTCATTTACAGACAAGTTCTTGTATAAAAACTTTGTATTTTTTTTATGGAAATTTATATGAATTGTATAAATTTTGCATGTGATATATATTTTACTTCTCTGATTTTACTTTATTTTATTTTGCTATACCAAGGCAAAGTTAAACGATTGGAGGTCTGTTCTTTTCAGCTGAACTCTTTCTTTTTGTCGGTTAAACTTTCCTTTTTTTTATATTGGGGGGAAAAAAGAGGAAAGAGATGAGTGGTATACAAGAAGTTCAACTAAAAAGAATAGGTTTTATATAATTCTGATAAACGTCTCTGTTTAAGCTTTTTTTGACAGCAATTGATTACTTACAATTAGTCGCATATTCACATGTGGTCTAATATCGTTTACGTTTATTTTGTATGTTTGTAGGTCTTACATTTGAAATAGCAGAGGGTGGATTCTTAGATATAGACGTTAAGATAGTTGGCCCCGACGGTAGAATAATCTACCAAGGCGAACAGGAGAGCAGTGGGAAATACACGTTTGCTGCACATACTTCAGGCGTTTATACTTACTGCTTCAGTAATCAGAAGAGCACCATGACACCGAAGGTGGTAATGTTCAATATGGACATTGACGAAAATCGGAAACAATCTGAGGATAATGCCGGTGCGGAGAATCAGGATGGAGATAGCAATCATGGAAAGTTAGATGATATGATCAAAGATTTGAGCACCAGCTTGTGGGGTGTGAAAAACGAACAAGAATACATGCAGGTATATACTAATGGAGAAGCAAAAACCTACACATTTCTTTATCGATGTTTACTTTGCCGATCTGATTTAAACGTTTACGAGTATTTTTTGCGATTTCAGGTCCGCGATCGCAATCACAGGGCGATCAATGAGAGTACAAATTTCCGTGTCGTGGTGTGGGCGTTTTTCGAAGCTATGGTTTTGGTATGCGTAACGACAGGGCAAATCTTTTATTTGAAACGATTCTTCGAGGTACGGAGAATCGTGTAATTTAGGATAACTAATGATACACTACGTGAATCAATTGTACATTTTTCTATGTAATTAAATTATCTCATTCACAATAAGTCATCGGTAAATGCGCTCTCACTTTGTCGAGATTAAATCCAAACTGTTCATCGTTAGCATTAAGATATTTCCTACAACTGTAAGATTTCTAATAAAAAAAGAATTTGTAACGGGACGAAATCCGAGGCTTCGTGCAATCGTGAACGTTTCCACAACAGTGAGAACGTTAAGAAGAATGAAATATATGTCTGTAATAAGAGAAAAAATACACATGCATCTTTCTCTAAATGTCAGTTGTTATATTCGGCTGGCGATATGAGTATCCATAGTTCCATTTTGTACTTATTAGTAGTTATTAGTAAAACATGCTTTTAATGAACATTGAAAGTTACTATATTCATCCAGAACGAGTTCTTTATCAGTTATCCTTCCTGTCTCGCGTGTTTAATTAACAACATTTGTCTGATAAAAAGTACCGGGGACGATAACGGAGAGACAATCGATAGGAACACGATTTCCTGCGAGAAGAAAAAACGCGCAAAGGACCCGATAACGTAGGTCGAGTCTAACATTTTTCTCGATAGCAACGTTTCGTGGCGTAAAGGCCTTCAATTAATGTTACCCCGTTGAGCAGTGGTCGAGAAAAGGGAACAGAATCTGCCGCAATTAAGGTGATCGATTGCGCGTGTTGCTTCGATTGGGGAGAGGGTGACGGGGGGAGGAAATTAATCGATGACGATTACCGCATTGGTGCGCGCGGGAATATATTTAACAGGTATATCTCGTCGGATTTGTGTCGCATTTTTTTCCGTACAAAGACAATACAGTAGGTCTATTTTCTTTGGCTAAACTAGTATACACTTTTGGAACTTAAAAGTGAGATAGGTATATGCTTGATATTCGGTGAAAGTGAGAAAGAGAATTCTAGTGAAGGACTAAAAAAAACAGACCTAGTTAAACGGAAGAGATCGCATTGTCAACGTCGTTGAAACGACGCGATGACGTAACGGATTATCGATTATCGTTCTTAACACGTGTGAGAACATATTGTTTGAGAAACGTGACGCCGATTCAGAATTTTTCGCAGAGATTCGTCGGCGAATAATAGGCCCGTCGCAGTGAAATCGGCCCGCGGGAGCGATCGGCATTGCTTTCCGGAATGGAAGAAGCCAATTAAGGAGGGAGGATGGGAGAGGGGGGGAGGCGATCACGCGTAACGGTATAATTAAAGGGAAGAGAGGCAATCGAGAAAGAAAGCGCTGATGAATAAACCGTATCTCCTCATCTTCGCGGCTCTGGGGTTCTAACGAGCGGCGGGATTTTTCTTCTTTTTTTTTCATTCTTTCGTAAATGGAGGCTGTTTATCGTCCCGGTAAAACGCCGATTACGGACGATGGACCTGCAATCACGCCGTTCATTTAATGCTAAACGCCTCCGTATCCGTCGATCGCCGTCGCGCGTTCGACATCGAACGAGATCGTCGCGACGGAACGACTGCAGCTGCGCTCTGAACGGTTCGGAGGAAGAAGGACAGATATAAAGGGTGACTTCGACTCCAATTAACTTAATCTCTAGTTAACTTATTAAGTATAATATCTGTAATATATGTCTGTCAAGTAATACCTATTTCGTTAATACAGACAGAATTATTAGTTTTTTATTATTTAACGCATGGGAAAGATAAATAAGATTAGGGACAAATTATTAGTTACAAATTTTGTTCTGAGCAATCCTTAAATTAATTGGAATTTGATTGGAGTTATCTAGAAACTCGATGCACAAAAGTGCATGCGTAAAATATGATTTTTTTCTTTATAGGCCAATTCAACTTTAGAATTTTTACTTTGATTTATATAATAATTTATTAAAAATTGCGTTGGAATTCATAAATAATAAAATATAAATTATAATTATTAATGATATTTAATTATAATTTTTTATTATTATTGACGTTGCAGATTTTTTTTAGATTTAATGCAAATATTTTGAGACCGTTGTTTTACTTAAATTGATATGTTAAAATATTCACCATTATGTTGCATCTTTTATATTATAACTACTGTACTATCAGATTTTAGACGAGTTACATACTTTGTTCTGAGCGAGATGGATATTTTTGTCAGAATTATTTTTTTTAATTTCAATTTATTCGATTGATTCAGAATGAAAAAAAAATTTTTTATATATTATTTTTAAAACGTTTGTTTTATATATATTTTAAATTTATATAAACGTGTAGTGTGTTTTGTACAATATATTATGTCACATATCTTTCATAAATTTTGCGTTTTTTATGTTTCAAATTTATATTAAGTTATCTGAAACATTTTGGATCATAAATTTGTGACACACTAATCCTGATCGGTCCTTGAAAGAAATCTAGGATTTTCGGATATCGTCGTTCGAGTGGCGGTCTTGTTACACGAGCGACTCGAAGGATACGGAGGATTAATTGGCGGGTCCGATCGCGCGCGCCGCTACCCCTCGCCCTGCTTTCCCTTCCTTTGCGCAGCGGTCCTTTCGAAGGGGTTGCACGCCACGTCGGATCTCCAACCAGAGTGGCGAGAAAAGAAAAAAAAAGAAGCATGCAAGAGGAGGAACGAAAGAAAGGAGCTGCTAATTGACACGGGCGATTGCACGTAACGGTATAATTAGAGAAAAGAATACGGAGAGCCCAGGCCGGTGCACCGATGAAACCAATGAACCAGCCACCGCGACGGCAAAGGGAGAGGGAAGAAACGAGAAAGGCAAAGAGAAAAAGAGTGAGAATATACGGCGAGCGGGGCAACGGAAGAGAGATGAACAGAAAGGCAGAAAAGCAGCAGGGGAGAGAAGCAGCCGGCGGGTTTCGTGCGACCATCAAGGGGTTCCCTCTCCGAGTGAACGAGCCGCGGGTCTACGATGAGAGAGAGAGAGGGGGGGGAGAGAGAAAGGGAGAAGGAGCAAGAGAACGAGAGCAAAGGAGAGAGAGAGAGAGAGAGAGAGAGAGAGAGAGAGAGAGAGAGAGAAGCGCTGGTTGAAGAGACCAAGAAGGGGTACGCGACGACCAGAGGGAGAGACAGAGACAGAGTGAACGAGGGGGGAGGAGCCGGAGGGAGAGCGAAAAGAGAGGGACCATAGGCTCGTGGACCCTGCCGCGATCATTCTGTACCAACACGCTGCGCCGGTCGGTTTCGCAGCGTTCCCAGTGCCCTCCGATAACACCACGAGGAGGAGCAGCCGTTCTCCAACGAGGTCACTTCCGCGTCCCCCAATGAGGGAGAGTCCTCGTTGTGGAAGAGTCACCGGGTCGCCAAATTGACGACGTCTTCTTCGACGTTCTTCTTCTTGCCGCGAGATACGAGGACATCGCAGGACGAGGCTCGGGAAGTGCCCCCACCGGTGAAAGGTGCCGCGAGAGTCTGCTTGTTTTTTTTTTCTTTCATCTTCCGGGAGCTCGATTCCGCCGGGACCAGGTTTCTTCATCCCGACGATTCTGGCGAAGTAGCTGCGCGAAGCTGTCGCTCGTTCTTTGATCAAGGAGCGCCGATGGTTCCCCGAAGAAGTTCTCGAGATCATCCAGAAAAGGCGATGCCAGTCTAGGAGTCTGACGAGTCGCGGATAAAAATCTAGCGATCTTTAAGCTTGAGCGGGATTCCTCGTCCTTCCATGCCGCGATCGTCGTGGGTAACGTTGACTTTGTCGCTCGTTGGAAAGGATTTAACAGAAAATCGGATTATGGTGAACCGATCATTGAAATGCTAAAGAATTTTAAGGACTTTTATGTATACGACGTACAAAAAGGAGCGCTCGAGGGATCGTCGAATAATGCACCTCGGTAGCTCGCTTTTATCTAGGAGGTTCGATCGGATGACAGGTTCTCCAGTAGAACAAGAACAACCGTCTACGGGCGCATCCGAGCGGAACGTAGTCGAGATATAAGTTTAACGTCGAGATTCGTTGAAGCAGCAATTAACGCGACGCATTAAGGATTGGGGTCGCGATCTTGGACGATTGACGTATCCTTAGAGCGGGATCTCGCGACCAGTCGCGCCGTACGGTGGCGGCGAAAGAGTTCGACGGAAATTATACCGTCAAGATCGTAATCACGCGCTCACGCGACCGCGCGAGCAGCTCGCCCAGACGCGATCAGGTTTCGCTCCGAGAAGAAATCTCGCTCTTCCAGCGCGTTCTCCACAGCGTCGCGTCGCGTCGCGCTACACCGCGCCGTGTCGTCTAACATAAGAAGCGGAGCTACCCTTTTTCTCCAAGGAGACAATTCCATCGGTCCAATTCGCTCAAAAACAATCTTTGATCCTGGGATTTACGGTTGCGGGTCGGATCGGAAAACCGTACCAGGGAACAGAAAGAAGAAGACGTCGAGTATCACTCGATCTACGGCCCGATCTTCTTCACACAATTCGAAAGACCAGGCTAAACCAATTATGCGAGACGGTAGATGTTATGGGTCGCAAAATGAGACGTGAAACGGTGTGGAGTCGTGTCGCGCGAGGAAGGAGAGGAATGTTTCCGTCCAGAGGACTATTTACGATTCAAAGGACGAGGACCTGGCACGGCGATTCTCGATAAGAAGGCAAGATCGATTCGCATCGTGATCGGTATTATCGCGGAAGGACGAGCGAGAGATACGGGATTATCTCGACGAGTCGAGCTGGGGCGCAATTATCTCTGAGACTTAACGACTGCGGCTTGCTCCGTTCCGGTGAGTAATTATTCAATTAAACGGCAACTCGTCGTGGGTTACCCCGACGAGTTTAGTATAATGGGCAATCCGTCGTGATGAACGTCACACGATTACTATTCTCGAGATAATAAACTTTCGAGAGTTCTGAACATTAAAAGCGTGTATTAATTTAATCGTAAAATAATTAAATTTAATTTAAACGATTAAATACGTTGATGTAAAAGGAATTGCCAAATGTGAGCCGACATCAGTTGTTCGTGTGTAATCCAATGTGTATATTGAAAAAAATGTGATACAGACGTTTCAACCTGATATTGGCAATTTTTATTAATAAAAAAAACGAATTAAACTTGCAAAATGACACAGATTTATTGAGCCCATTGTATTATGATTTAGTCGCTAAAGATTGACGTAACTTTGTTTAATTTGCTGCTGCTAATATGTATGTATTTATTTCTGACATTTCATATTTATATTTAATTTTTATCATCGGACATGCTCTCTATTTCCCTATAATATTCTCATTGTGACTTGACTTTCTTATTATAACGACATCTCTCTCTGTATTCACATCATTGTAACAGACCATCGTTAAGCTTATCGCTACGTAAGTTTTTAATAATTTTGATTAATATAGTTTATTATAATTGATTAAAGTTCTTTTGAATCATTTATTTTAGTGGAAATTTTTGAACATGGACTGTTTGTACATTCAGTAAAATATAACAGACGACTATTTGAAGATTCAAACAGCGACAATAGTTAGATGTTTTGACGATCGAGCGTTTTATTTTAATTTGACATCATGAAATTATTTTAAACACGTATATTCTATACTGAAAAGGACCCAATATCAGGTCTGTATATATCACATTTTTTTCAATATACACACGTATAACTGGTGTCGGCTCACATTTGGTAATTCCTTTTATATCAACGTATTTAATTTATTTGAGGAGAGCCTTTCGTATTTTTAATTTTATTGTTAAATTTAATTAGTTTTCAAATTATGAGATATAAAAGTTTATAAGAATTTTATATCGTGGATATAATTTTTTATATGTGCGAGCGGGCATTCATATAAAGATTGTAATAAGCTTTAAAATTTTATCGGAAAACTCGGTTTAAGCAGATCTCGCTGAATACATGTCTCACGCGAAAAGAAGAAAATATCATTTTTTCGTCAGTAAATTACTATTATCTCACTATTATTCTCATACTTCTTCACATTCATCTTATTTTCATTCTTTTGTTTTCTTTTCTACAATTATTAGCTCTATTTTTTATTTCTGCACTAAACTGCGCTAGAATTCTTTTTCTCGCTTTCGTCAAATATCAACCATATACATATTTCACCTTAAGTACACTTTTATGTAATTCATATAAAACACATAAAACAGATCTATAGTATTTTGTTTCATTTTACTTCAACTTCATTTTTAAATCCGCTTTTTGTGGATGAATTAATATACTTTTTTGTGGTTGAACTTTTGGAACTTAAAGTAAGAATTTTATATTTGGCGAAAGCGAGAAAGAGAGTTCTAATGCGATTTACTGCAAGAATAAAAAACAGATCTTTTGTTTCCTGCGTTACTTACCGTCTATCGTAATCCGCTTTCTGTTGTTTTAATTTCCTGTATATTCCTAGAGAACTTTAAATAAACGTTTTAATTGTCACTCTGAAGAGTGAAATCTCATTTTTAAAGATTAAAAATTGAGCCATCCTTTATCAAGACTGGCTCAATTTTCACTCATTAGAATGAGATTCCACTCCAAAGAATTTATAGAGAGTAATAACAGGAATAATTTAAATGCAATTATGCGACTTTGAAAGCGCATTCACGGATGACTCTTATTTTATGTTTTATCGCGAGTTATTACGACTCTCCTTTTGTTTAATAAAAATTATAACAAGATCCTCTCTTGGCGAAGAAACGCGCCGCGTAGCGCGCCAATGACGCAGTCTCGCGGATCGAAACACACGTTCAAACAACTGTCAACCGTCGTAACAGGATCTCGTTAGCGGGCGGTCGATATAGTATACCCGATGACGGTGTACGGTGGCGGTCCGATACTCGACAAAAGCGACCGTCGAGATAAGCTTTCATCGGCGCGATCGTTCGCCCGCGTTGCGAGAGGGTCGCGACTTTAAGGACGCTCAACCCTTTCCGCTCAATCCTTTCACTTTCCAGCCATTGTTCACGCATGTGATTCTAAATTTTAAATAAGGTAATCGACAGACGCATCGGATACCCCGAAATCATCTCGATATGAATCCATGCTTCAATAGAACGAACGTCGCGCGTGCAACGGAAAGGATTTAACTCTTAAATACTTTAGTATGTGTGACTGGGGTAATATTTTTCGCAATAAATTATATTTACAGTTTTTTAAATGCTTATTAGCATTAAATCATTAATAGCTTTCCAAGATGCTTATATTTGCAGTAATAATATTAAATTGCTCGTCAGTTAATTAATTTGTAATATTACTCCAACTTTGATTTAGGACTGTGTTTCAAGACCACCAAATAATCGCATAGTTAGCTTGAACTGGAACTTGGAACATAAATTTACAAGAAATATTATTAGGCACGACGAACCCTGATCGAATATGGCATTTTTTACTCTAGTGTGTGTTTTTGTAACGTTTATGCAATGCATACATGGAAAGGATGATTTTGTTGAAGTATCTAAAAATTTAGCTATTACATACAGATTTAAAAATTATTCTGCTGGATCATAAAAATAATTACGTAGAAACTTTAAGGATGCTAAATAATTCTGTAAAAGTTTTGACATATTTTTAGCAACCAGTTTTACATAATTATTTTTATGATTTAACAAAATTATTTTCAGATCTGTATCTAGTCAAATTTTTATATATAAATTTTTATAATAGTTTAACAAAATCATTCTTTTCGTATATAAATCGTGACTTTCTAAGGAATAATATTTCCGAACGTGCCGGAACTTTCTCGCTCAAAATCGAATCTCCCGTTCGGTCCCGAGGCAATGCCTCGTCGTTAGATTTCATCCGTAACGTAATTGACGTAAAAAATTGTATCTCTTGCAGACAAAGATTATTGGATTCCTGGAGAGATATCGCCGCAGAGAGAGAGAGAGAGAGAGAGAGAGAGAGAGAGAGAGAGATATCGCAAACGACGTGGAATCGACTCGAGATACTAAACCGTGTCGAGAATTTCCGCCTGATAGTCGCTGGACCGGCAATGATTTACCGATGTCTCGTCGGATTAATAGACGAGCCCCCCTTTTAACGGCTCGCCACGACTCGCCTGGAGTTCATCTCGCAAATGACCATTCCGTTATACCTCGACTTTGCTCCACTTTGCGACCGTCACGAACAATAGGCACGCTCCAAGAAGCTTCATTGATCTCACTTCCTTAGATTGTAGAAATCATTTCTCACGGAACGTGATTTTCCACGAATGATAATCGATAGAGATCGAAGAATCCGCATAAAGAATCTGATATTGGAGCACCGTGTATCCCTATCTTGAGTTTTGTCGTACCAATAATTTTTCTAAACAAGAGCTGATCACGTTTTTATCTTCTTAGAGAAAATACATTTTCAAAGTAAATTTTCCTTCTCGCTCCCAATCTTTTTTGCAAGAAAATTAATAATAATAAGATCTATTGACGTGCAAGATAAAATTACATTCATTACATTCCTCAAAGGTGAGGTGCTACTCTAATTTACAATGCGTTATTACAATACAATTTACAATACAATTTACAATACAATAATCAGCAATTATTGTATAGATGATACGTATTTTTGGACAATCAGAAAGTACGATCGCGCGACGCAAACAGAAGAGGAACTTAATCTCTCGCTAAGAGTATCGAGATTGTTGTATTTAATGATGGTCGTTATCGGGTGAATGATATCGCGTCGCAACATGCTCGCTGCGACGACGCCTTTTAAACAAGGTGAAAAGCGCGTTTTAAAACTGTCGTGTTTTACGATGCATTGCCACGCCGCACAAAAATATTCGCCAAGTAAAATATTTCGCGCGACGCATCATCGACGATTATGCGTTTCTCCTTGTGTGGGAGCCCGACGGGGCCGTACGACTAACTGGCATTGAACTGGCCTCGAAGGTGTAATCACCGCAGGATCATTTTGTAGAACGTTTAGAGACGCGGCAGTGTAACAATGGCGTGGCTCGTGATCCGGACTTCGTAATACGACGATGATGGACAACGGCTGTATACTCCATTATCCTAGATCGGATCGCGATTATTCAGAATAATCGCGATCACGCGAGGAGGGAGGAGGAAGGACTTGATGTCAATGTTGACAATCTCTCCAAGGAACACATAAAACTCAGCAAAACATAAAAATCAGCAAAAAAATCAAAATTACGTTATTTTGATTCTTAACGTCATTAAATAGTCAAATTTTGTAATAAAAAATCGTCATTTTGGCATTAAAAAAGTCATTTTGACTTTCTCTTGATTTGGGGTGTTCCTTGGATCATGTAAAATTTTTCTATTAAAAATAATGGAAGAACGAATTGAATTAGATATACTTAATTCGCTAGCTGATCGTGAAAGATAACGATCATGTAATTTTTTTCTCTAGGACGAAAATAATGAACATTTCTTTTATTATCTTCAATTATGGACGTAGTCAAGAGGGTGAGCCTAAAGTCTCCCCTTCTAAATCTTAAAGAACAAATATAATTAAAATTGCTGAAACGGACTATAATAAATATTCAAAAAATTAATTTTGGAAAAGAAGAAAGAATTGGAAGATTTACAGAAAGATTTTCTGAGATTCCAAGACGACTGTGTTATAAATTTAAATTCTTCCAGTTTGAAGAATCAGTACAATTTTACGAAAAAAATCAGTTACAATTTTACGAAAAAAATAAAGTACATTAATAAATTAAATATTTTGTGATTTATATATATATATCTGCAGTAATTAAAAATATTAGTAATTAAAAATAAAACAAAACAAGTCTAATAATTCATATCACTCTCCTTTCTCCTCAGATTCAACTCTAATTTGGTTTCCTCGCCAAACAAAATCCATGTTTCCAATGGCAAAAATTTTAATTTTTCACAAAGTTTGTTCGCGTTGCTTGAAATCTTCAAAAATTTTTGCACTTAAAAGACGATAAATATATGTTCGAACGTTGTAGAGAGAGAAAACAACAAAGAAGATGAGTGCAAAGAGCACAAGCAATGCAAACAAACCTACAGTTTCGGCTTAGAAAAAAAATTACTTACTCGGATCACTACTCATCACTACTCGGATCTTTCACGATCAACCGGCAGATCTTATCTATAAATTCGGTTCGTTATTATTATCGAATTATCATTAATATTAATTATACCATTATTATTAATATTAATAGGTACCGTAAACTTGATCCGTGAGTTCCTGTATTGTTTATGGTCACGTGCGTTACGATTCAAAACGAGAAGGTACAACGTCGTTACGCCGATACCTCCCAATTAAAAGTCAGTTCTCCCGAGGATAAATTAGTGCGGCTGAATGTTAATAAGGTACCTTCACGAAAGCGTCGTAAAAGTTATGAGTTACGATTGGATGGAGTGGCGGGATACCTACGCATGTACAGTGAGCGTAATCAACGATTACAATGTCCGACGAGAGCCTTTTGTGTTCCTTTCACGTGTCTGTAAAAAGGGACTCTCTCCCTCTCTTAATAATGTACGTAATTACTCTTCAGCGTCGTTGCAATCTTCCCGAGTACTTTCCATTCACCTCGGTCGCTTTCGCTCGTTCGATTGGTTTTATCAAATAGCGCCTCGAGTAATTCTTTATCGAACACTTCACTCTGCTTTGCCTTTAAAAAATATCTGAACGAAATTAATTCGTGTAATCGAACAAGGACCCAATTCTTGAAAAGTGTATCGCATACGAAAACTATACGGAAATCTATAATACATATACGTAACGAACTATATTGTATTTCCGTACATTTTCGTAAACAATATTTTTCGATCCTTCCAGGTCCTGGTTGATAAAGTCCATTTTAAGAGACGTCTAAAACCTATTTTAAAACACCTTGTATTTCCATCGATTTTACGATCAGTTTTTATACAAAACAACGTACCTTCGTGTACATGTTGTATCACAGATCCTTTGATTATGCGAAGTCCTCCCATCGTACACTAAAAGGTAGAACGATCCTCTCTCTCGTAGTTTATCTTTCCATAGTTGACTGGTTTTTCTCCTATTGAATTGTTCTAGCATAAGTCGTATCCTCGTGCAAGACTGTATTGACAATCGTCGACCGGTCTCACTGTACTCGCGTGCTTCTCCACGTCCAGTTCTCCGATCTTCACCGCCTTTCCTCTGGCCTTCCTCTTTCTTTCATCTTTCTTCCTCCTCTCTTTCCTGCCATTCGTGGAGCTCTTTCTGCATCCCCTGTCCTCCTCTTTGCCCTGCGTCGTTGCTTTCGGCCATTCTCTCGGTAGGCTCTTCGTTTTCCTCTGCGTACGTGCACCTCAAGTGTGTGTACACTCCGTCCTTAGCTTCCAGCTTCGTTAAGAGGACTCGAGTCGTCATCTTGGCGCGCTCCGTGAAAATCTAGAGCCTATTGCTCCCCCTCGGGGAGGGGGGGGGGACAGTTTGACGCGACTTGGACCTTCGAATGTGCTCTCTCGCGCGTTATCTTATCTAGTGAATACAATTAACGACCTACCTGTATCGACGACTCTAATCTGCCCCGAGATCCTTAAACGAATTTTACTTCTCTTTTTCCTCTTGCGACTTTCCGCGATTGCACTCCGGGACCGCGACCGGCAACACGAATCGACATTTTATCTGTCCCATCTCGGATAAATTCGCTATTAGAAAAACTTGAGATAACGCCAATTATACGGCAAGCGAGGAGCGCGCAGTAAAGCGAGCATAAGCAATTCATTAAGCTCATTTTGAACTCGGTGCTTAAAACGAGTCATGTCTTAAGTAGAAGAAGTCACGTATAATAATATGATAAAGACATTATCATGATCTTATTTGTCATTTATTTAAGGAACACATAAAAGTCAACAAAAAACCAAAATGATTTTCTTAATGTCAATAAACAATCAGATTTTGTAACCAAAAATCATCATTTTGACTTTGGCGTGTTTTTTAGGTCCTTTTAAGTTCATTTTTAAGTATCACATGACGTCATGATGGTGTCTAATAATATCGTTATTATGACTCTGTGTCTACCTAAGGTATATAATCTAGAAATTCGAAACAAAGAAGAGGGTAGAGAAGAAATGGAATTTCGCATCACACTCATTAGTTTTTCTTTTTTGCCACTTTTTTGGAAAGAATCTACCGCAAATACATGGCGTTAACAGCGAATGTAAACCGTCGCTAAATATCAGAACGTTTTAATCGTTCTCACGTTACGATCACATTTTACGATTCGGCAGCTGACGTTACCGGCTTCTGTCGCGGGGATTATGCAAGCGCGACTATTCGAGTAGCCGAGCAAAGTGCGTCGTTATGCACGTGCACCTAATATTAGATTTGAGATTCTCGCTCTTTCTCCTTCCGCTTCTCCTCCATTCGCTACTCATTATAACTATACCCGTGTACGGCGCAACCATATGGAATTGGCAATTGGCTCATTCCGTTGCAGACGGCAAACGGCGCTTATTGCATCCTATATCGCCAGGACATGTCTTGTTCAGCCTCGAGCCTCCAACGAGATACTTTACCGCTGATAATCCGCGGCTGGTCCACGGCGGGGACGCGTACGCCGAAGTACGCGCCGTTTACATTCCCGCCGTGATCGCAAATGCGTTTTATGCGCCGGCTAATATCGCCGGGTCGATCGCGTGGGCTAGATAGACGGCGATGTGCTGTATAAATACATGTACTTGTGTACACCTGCGTACGTGTGTATACCAGTTCCGCGGCAGGGATGTATAGCCACCGCGCTTATGGTGAGAGCTAGCGGTCCGCGAAAGCTGGCAAGGAGCTACCGTCTCTCTCCTTTTTCCTCGCCACATAGAGAATTCCGTGCAGAAACGATCAGGGAATCGCGACACGTGCCGTGATGAGAGGAATCCTGCAATTGATGTTTGAGACATTTTAAAGCGTTTGGAACATGTTCCACACACACACACGCATACATAACGCAGTTCTGCAAGTGATATCCCAGGAGATCCTCAGGATATTTCTTAAAGAATTGTGTTGTGTGAGATACTGGACTAATGATTAAATCGGATTGACGAAGTCTGGCACCGTTATGTTAAAAGGGTTTACTCGCGACGCTATTTACACAATGTGGTCGTAAGATGGTACTCGACGTTGACGAAAGCGGACGTAGGAGCGGCTTCACGCGAGCTTCGCACGCGGGCTCGCGCGCGTTTCGGCTACGTCACTGTCCCCCGTGGGTTTCCAGAGTCAGCTTCGCCACGGGTTGACCTCGGGACGGACGAAAGGACAACCGAGTCCCCCGAGGGACGATTATGGTACACCGCTTCGACGTTACACCTTGCACGCGTTCGTATACGTGTGGCGTCGCTCTCACGTTGCACAAACTGTTGATATCAGCGGGCGTTGAGTTACGATTCGCAGAGTTTATCAGTTGGTCCCATGTCACGTTGTCGCACTTTCGACTGAACACGCGTTCGATCTGGACATCAAGAAGGATTGCACGGTCTCCTCGAAAGTGCGAGCTCTGTTCGCGATATTTTCGTATACATTACTGAATCTGGACCGTCTGGACAGGATCAAATACGACCACGAATTATTTATTCTTATTCGCGTCTAAATAATGAAATGTATCGTTAATGTAAATCGTAACTAATCCGGCTGCAGATGTAGACTATTTATGATCATCTTACATGCTTCAAGTCTCGAAAGCTAGTATGCGATAGATACCATAGTTATATTACTCTGCGAACGATCGAGGAGAGAATTGTAATCATATTTTATTATCAACAATATTATTTTAGACGTTTATGTGAGAACACAATCAATATTGAAATGCCTATAATAGTCGAAGCTGGATCTTTAATGCTTAAATAATTTTGATGTTTAATCAGGCATCATATCATAAAGATGTTAATATGCTAAAAAACTGTAATTAAATTTATTGCGAAAAATATTATCTCGGCCGGGAGTCGAACTCGAATCTCTTGTATTACTACCGATATTTTATTATTTTCTATCAAATCATCAAATTCTTAAGAGATTTCATTGTGTAACTTAATTTCGTTAACCTCTGAACATGCGACACGCTGTTTCCTCGTATTTCCAGGTTTCACTTTTAAAGCTCGGCGTTTAATTGAGACTCGATTTTTCCGCTAACAACATCAGTATGATGCATCGATCTGACCTTGATTTCACCGTTCCGCGGTCACCGCACCTTTTCGTTCAGATATAGGCACGATTCACGGCCGACTGCGCCGGCGGTCTTCCTAATGAAGCGATTAATACGGTGCCTTCGCTCGCTGCGCGAATACTTGTAATACGAAATTGATGATTTCCTTCGATGCTTGCAGGGGGTGAAGGAGAAGGATGACGATGCGCGGCAATGGTCCACTCGTGATCTTGCGATCGCTGATGGTCGTCGCCGCCGCTACGACGGTACCGGGGACCTGGATGTAAGTATCTTTCGGTATATCTTTCGCGCGATGTGATAATTTTTTCCTTTTCTTTTTTTTTCCAATCAGGCGATCGAAGGTATCAATTAGTTTCACGCGCATATTTATAGTTAGACGGGATGCGATTATTTTTTTTCATTAGGCTCGCGCGACTCTTAAAATAAGCTGATGTCGAAGGACAAGGGGTGCCCTACATATCGCCGATCGAAGGATGAACTAGCGCCAGTGGGATGCCGTTCTTACGGTGGAAGCTTCATTATCTGTAAACGTCGTTTCATTGAATTTTCGATGATCTGGCTGCCGTGATTTCCGATATTGGCTCAGATAATTTAAATTCTAGTGTACATGAACGTGAAGTATAGAGAGGCGAGCGAATAAATAAATTTATTTAAGGCAAATTAAGTCATTGAATTGCTAAACGAGCAATTTATCTTAAATGATTCATGCTTCTTTAGAATCTTCGTTAAAGAGGAGATCGCAAAGCTTAGTGTCAATCGAACTCGATTATATGAATCGGAAACGTTGTTTTATTCACATTGATGGTTATATTACTGTCTCGAATCGTTGAATTATAACACGGAAACTGTGGAAAGAATAGTTTTGCAGAAATATCTAAAAATTAGTTAGATACAGATCTAAAAATAATTTTGTTGAACTATCAAAATAATTATGTAGAATGCTTAAACGTTGATGATAATGCTACAAAAATGCCCTACATAATTATTTTCATATAATTCAAACAAAATTATTTTCAGATCTGTATCCAACTAAATTTTTAGATACTTCAGCAAAATCATTCTTTTCGTGTAAAGTCTGTTTTTGGCTGTATTTCAAATTTACATTATGTACACTATAGACTTTTAACACTGACAATGGGTTTTGAAATACAGCCTTTGTAGTTTTAACAGTATATTTTTATACTTAAAGCGAAATAAATATGTATATACTTCAAATTTGGCAAACACAAGAAAGAAAGTTTTAGTGCAGTCCTCCAATGCAGCGACAAAGAACGAGTCTTTTATATTTTCACAGAAATATAATCGACTCGTGATTTCTCTTCGTAAACGTTAATTGTGCGACGACGATCGTCCGAAACGATAAGTAGACATGTCGCGAAGAGACGAATCGACACGATTCTTCACACGATTCCAGATTTATAGGTCTTTGTGCTCACGGCACATCGTGGGAATCCGACCGAGATATCTCTTGTGTCCCCGAAAACCTCTCTCTTTCGTGCACGAAGGAAAGCTACGCGTCCCCCCGTCGCTCGTGTACTCCGCCCTGTTTGCCGGGAGTGTGTCTAATCTCTGAATTGCCATTCCGGCCCCTGTGTTCTACCCCGCGTGAGCATGACCAATCATCGAATGGTCCCGGACGCCCGCGCTCCTTTGTGTGCCATCCGGATCGCCCTCGGACCTCCTTCGCGCCGAATTTACCTCTCGTACCCTATCTCTCGCAAGGAAATCCTCGCTTAACCGTCTGCTTTTTTTCTTTGGAGTGCTCTTACAAAGGGAGCAACCTCCCCTGAGGTTGCTCCCTTGATTCTCGAACACGCTCTCGTTCGGCTAATCTGTAACGAAGGAGCAAAAGTCAGAAATCATTGCATTTCCGACGTACATAAGCATTAGTTATAATTCCCCTTATCGTATCTCACGTGCAATTCCCGCGTCACCCGATTAATCGTCTTGTTGCTTAATTACTCGGCGCAATCCTTTACGACGTGACAGAATCCCATTTCGTCCCGCGACTCGCGATTGCCTCGGGACACCCCGTATATGCGAACGCGCGTCGCTGCGGATGTAGCCGCAATCTCTTAGGAGACACGGGGCATTATTTTGCGGGCCCCGCGGCCCACGACGCAACGACGGTGCCCCGAGCACGCGAGCGTTGCGTGGGCCGTACCCCGTCGAAATATTATCGCTCTTTCTGCCGCGCATGCCCCCTTTCCTAGTCCGCAAGGTTTGTCCGCGCCATTGTTTTAGGGGAGTGTAAAGCCGATGATATATCGTCGCCGGAGCGTGTTCCAGAATATTAATGTCGTCTATTACACTCCCTAGACACTCACGCGCTGGCTTTTACGACTTCTCTTTCTCTCTCTTTCACTCTCTCACGATCGCGACAACTTCGGATGGACCTCGATGGAGGCGGAAATACCGAGATTCTGATGTTTTCCAATAATTCCGATACAAGAAAACATCTCGGGGACGAGAATTTCTTTTCCCATTTCAAAGTGGTGGTTCTCGCTAATAAATTCCATTTATCGTATAATATTTTACTCAATTTTTAACGAAATTGATGCGCTAATAGCTTGAAATCACGAGCCATAATCTTCCGATGGTTCCATAGAAATTCCCAAGAATGAACCTCGATGGAAGCGGGAATACCGGAATTCTGTTTTCCAGTAATTCCGATACCGGACAAGAAACATCTCGGAGAGGAGCGTTCCTTTTCCCATTTCAAAGTGGTTGTTAGTTTTCGCTAATAAATCTGATTTATTACACAATATTTCAGACGAGAGTTACTCAATTTTTAATGTGAAACTGATGAGCTGTACTAACAGCTTGAAATCACGAGTCATAATCTTCTGATCGTTACTCTGTAGAAATTCCCAAGTAACTCACACTGTTGATACATCTTAAGCGGTCGCGTCACATCGCCGACAATCCCAACGAATATTCACCTGAGTCACGCTCGGGCAGGTCGTCCAGGTTGCACCGAGTCGCCGTGCAGGTTGTCGCGACTTGCTGCGTACGTCGCGGCTGAACGAAAGCGATTGGGAGACAGAAGTCCAGACCCGAGATTATAAGATATAATTGAAAAGTGTACTCTTTTAAATCATATAGCGTGAAACTTGCCCGATTGGTAAGGTGGTACAATTCTGAACGAAATAAGATTTGAATCTGATTTTCGAACTTCAAATTTAAATTTTTTCTATTTGATACTCTTCAGTAGAAGACTGTCTATATAATGAAAAGGTTACCAAACTTGTACTTCGAAAAGAATTGAATTAAAATTTTATTTCGTTCAGAAATGTACCATGTTCGAAATTGTATCTTACTCTACAGAAGAAAAATACTTTGCAAATATCAATATATTTATAATGTTATACAGATATGTATCTTTGTCGTGATCATAAAAATAATATCTGTATTGTGTGTTTTTTATAATATATCTAAAATATACACAGAAAGAACGGTTTTGTTAATTTATAAACGCATTTAACTATAGCAGGTCTGAAAATAATTTTGTTGGACCATCAAAATAATTATGTAGAACGCTTTCTGTAAATAGTTTCAATGTTCTTATAATCAGTTCAATTGTGCCTACATTTTGAAGGTCCAAATAAAATTATTTTTAGATCTGTATCTAGCTAAATTTTGAAATACTTCAGCGAAACCGTTCTTTAGAATTAATATATTTAAAAATGTAATATATTTAAAATTTAGGCTTTATCAAAGTTTTATCGTGATAAAATAATAAAAATATACAAATATTTACGCAAATTGTATATACAGCGTCGATAGATTAATCGTTGTTAGCCAACAAGAAGTTTATCGGAGTCATTGGGTTGCAATTGCGAGCGTTCAAATCCCCAAGTCGAAATCTACCAAATCGGCTAGTGATTTTATCAGTTACAGGAAAGAACAGCTTTTCTAAAGTACCTAAAAAATTTTTTTAGCTCTAACTAAAGAAAATAATTTTGTTTAAACCTTCAAAATAATTAAGCTAAACTAGTTCAAGCTAGCTTAAACTAAAATTTGCAGTATTATCATTAATATTCAAGAGTTCTATATAATTATTTTGATATCCAATAAAATTATTTTCAGATCTGTATCTAGCCAACTATGTATAGATCTAGCTAACTATGTATATACTTCAGCAAAACCATTTTTTCTGTGTATTTCCCGGGGATTTTTCTCGATGGATGACCTCATCACGGGAATAAACGGGGAAGAGGCGATTCGAATTTGGCTGTTGGAAACTTCGCTCGCGACGACGGCCGTCCGTTTCGAATTTCAGATTGGCGGGGCCCTTGCCGGCTACACTCTGCCCTCGGCTTCTGTCTTTGACGGTGCCGTTCCATCATCTCGCTCGGTTGACTCACAAATGCACCATTAAGAAGGAAATCCGAGGGCCGCTGCGCGCCCACGGACGCGGACGGACTCGCCGCCCCGCACCGAATTTATATAATCGGCGTAACAAATCTCCAGGAGTTATAAGGGGGCCGCGGTCTCGACGTTGCAGCGATCAGCGTCGCGGCGTTTTCGAAATAGCCGTCAAATTTCACGATAAAAACTCTTTCTAAATAAAAATCCTATAGAATTAAAGACAAAATTGCAATCTAGTGTCATATTACAGGAACACTATTGTAATCGACCCGATACTTTTTAAAAGAAAAGTAAATCTAATGTGTCTTTGAAACATAATAGGTTTGTTTTTTATAACTGAACTGTGGTATATATATTTTTGAAACTTATAGCGAATTCGATTGGACACACTAGTGCGCACTGGTGCATATTAAAGCTATTGCGCATATACTGATTTAATCTTAGTGTGAAAGTAAAATGTGAATATTTTGAATTATAAAATACATATTTTACCAGCACAATAAAAAGTATTGAATATTTCGTAGTTTAACTGATTTCTATATTTATAATAAATATATCTTTATGTCAATTTGGGTACGGCTTTAATGCGCACTAAGTGCGTCCAATCATTATTAAAATGAAATAGATATATATTTGACATTTAGCTAAAATAAAAAAAAAGTTCCAACGCAGTTTATATTGCAGAAATAAAAAACAAACTCAATATTGCAAAAATTCTTAAGTCTACGTTACTTTGTACGTAACAGAAACCTGGGTCTGCGACACTTACCGCAACTGGAACCGGCGCAGACGATGGAACCGTTTGACGCGAGTGCCTCCACGATCTGCGTCGGTCTGAAGGGCCTGTCTCAGGGCCAGGGGAAGCTTTGCCAGCTGTCCGTGGACCACATGTTCAGCGTGGCCAAGGGCGCGAAGTACGGCGTTATGGAGTGCCAGCATCAGTTCAAGGACAGAAGATGGAACTGCTCCACCGTCCACGACGAGACCGTGTTCGGTCCGATACTTAGAATAGGTATGCTAATGCTAACATTCCAGAAACCATGGCATTCAAGCGACAGCAATATTTTATCATCCAATTTTTGTAATTAAAACAAACGCTGTCCGTTGCAGCGAGCAGGGAAACCGCGTTCGTTCACGCGATCACCGCCGCCGGAGTGGTCTACTCCATCAGCCGTTCCTGCCGGGATGGCCACCTGTCGTCGTGCGGCTGTTCCAGGAGTAACAGGCCCAAGGATCTAAAACGCGATTGGATCTGGGGCGGATGCGGGGATAATCTCGAATACGGCTACAAGTAAGTTTGAACGCGTCGTGCGGATCGCGTAAGCCCTGGTCCTAAGGCTAAAGATTCGAAAGAGTACAGGCGAATTCGCCTTTTTCTCTTTTCTTTCTTTCTTTACTCCCTTTTTTTCATCTTGCGAACGTCACGGAGAAGTCGGGGAAACTGGTTTGAGGCGTGTTTTCGTCGGTAATAAGATGTTCTGCCAGCGCGAAAAGATACGTGCGATGTTCTGCGCGCGATCATTTTTCCTAGCTCATCTGATTAACACAGTGTAACCGGTCTTTGGTATTTGATTAATGATGGGCCATCGTAAAAGCCCGCAAGAGTCAAGCATACCTAGATAACGACTACCGTCGCCATATATTTTGATAATAATAACAGTCTCTTCAAGATACATATATTATCGCAGCATTTCTCTTTCTCTCTCTCTCTTTCTCTCTGAAAATTCTTTCAGCAACTTAATAAAATAATTATATGTATTTGATATAATATAATATATTGCTCCTTTACTTAAAAAAAGACAACTCAAAAACAGTGATTTTCGATATCATAAATAAATTAAGTAAACGTTACCTCATTCATGTCCCTATCAAGTAAGATATAACTTAACTTCATGTAAAAAATCGTCAAAACCGTCACAATTAAAAAAAAAGTGGTTTTTTTTAGGATTGTGTAATGGAAATGACTTTTTGTCGTTAAAAATATATTCTTTTTATCAATATTATTTGATTAGTCAATATATAATTTTCTGTCAAATTAAAAAATAATTTTCCCCTTTTTTAGGAAACTTAATTTTTTTAATCGTGTTACTTTTGATTGAAGTAAGGAAGCGATATCCTAGACAGTGTGATATCCAAAATCAGAACATTATGATATAATATCTAAAAGACATCATTAAAATCCATTTCTATGAATTAGATTAACTTTAATCTCGGTTCAACTTGCTCTTCATTTTTTCTAACTTTTAGAATTAAAAAGAGTCAAAGAGTTTTAATTGAACTGAAATTAAAATTAAACTATATTTGATAGAAGCGAGCATAAAACATTATATCATAAAACATCTTTAAATACGTTTTTAAACTCCAGTTCCACCAATGTAAAATTAATTTTAATCTCGGTTTAATTTTCTCTTTACTTTTTCTAATTTTTAGAATTACGAAAAGATAAAAAGAATAAGTTAAACAAAGATTAAAGTTAATCCGACATTGAAATGGAGTTTAAGACGTCTCGTGTTCCGATTTTTCAACATGCGTGCTGGGATAATATTATAATTAATGTAATTCATCTTTAATCTTTTGTACGAGATACTTAATTATCGATATTAATACAAACGGACGTCCATCCAGATTCACGCAGGCGTTCGTTGATGTGCGAGAGCGGGAGCGCAGTTTCAAGAGAGGCAGCCGGGAGCAGGGCAGAAGCCTGATGAATTTGCACAACAACGAAGCCGGTCGCAGGGTAAAGTTCGTTCTTTTCTTAGCTCGCGCAAGAAATGTCTCTTTAAATGTCGCGTCGCGTTAAATACGCGTGTATCGATTTCTCGCGATTTAATGCGAATTAGTTGAACCAAAGCGCGGTAACGAAACTAATGCGCCGACTATTCGTCCCCCGCAGGCCGTCGTCAAAAGGTCCAAGGTTACATGCAAATGTCACGGCGTTTCCGGAAGCTGTAGCTTGATCACCTGCTGGCAGCAGCTCGCATCATTTCGCGAGATCGGTAGGTCTGACACAATTAACACAATTAACATTCCTAAACGACGCAAAGGATAATTTAACCCTTAGTAGATACGATAGATTATTTGTATCCTGCGCATTTTTTTCTTTAAAAAATACTAATACTTTTAAAAACTAATAATACTTTTTTAAATAATAATAACACTTTATGTCATTTTTTAAAAATAAGTCATTTAAGACATTATTGGTGTCTTTAAAATTTGGATGCTTTTACAGTGCTCTCTAGAGACTTGTGTCGTCCAGAGAATCTGTGCAGATAGCAATGCAATCTTGTGTATTTTCAGGTGATTTTCTCTTGGACAAGTACGATGGTGCGACCGAAGTCAAAGTCAATCGGCGCGGTCGTTTATCGATGCGCGATCCTAGGTTCTCCGTGCCCACTGCGAATGACTTGGTCTACCTGGATGACTCGCCGAACTACTGCCTTCCGAATGATACCCTGGGATCATTAGGTAGCTCTATCACTTTCAAGGATTTTATATTTTCATATGAAGTATTTTTGTTTAAGAATAGGAAAAAATCGAAAAGATTCTCTCTCTCTCTCTTTCTCTCTCTCTCGTAAGATTTATTTTTTACGAAAGGACGATTTTGTATTGTAACAGGTACGCAGGGCAGATTATGCAATAGGACCTCGTCAGGCATGGACGGTTGCAATCTCCTTTGCTGCGGCAGAGGATACAACACGCAAAAGTCGACCATCAGGGAAAGATGCGAATGCAAGTTTCACTGGTGTTGCTTCGTCGAGTGCAAGACCTGCGTAAAGAATGTCGATATACACACTTGCAAATAGCGCGCTACTATTTATTTCTTTCTTTTCTAACTCTTTTTTTTTAATAACTCTTTTTCGGACTTGTCCTCGCATTGTCGAAGATATATATGTATAGTCGACAGTACAACGTATTCTGGTAACGGCGGCATTATTGTTTCACAGTGAATAAATTTTGAATATTTTTTTCTAATTTAAAATTTACTCATTAAATAAATTTGATTAAAAATTCTTTTTTCCGTATGTATATGTATGTGTGGTATGTGTGTATGGATGTTTTTATGCAATATTATTACTGCGATAGATTCTTTCTCAGCGCTAAAAGATAAATTTTATCAGAATATTAAGTAATCTATATTTTATTAGAGAAATTAGTTCGTCTTATCACAAATTATTTGTGGCCTAAAAAAAGTTTAAGCGGATCAAGAAATTTTTTATTGTGTGTTCGTAAGAATTAAGTGCTTCGTAAACGATTTACGATCGTTAAATCGACGTAATTCTTTTAACGGAGACAAATGAAATATAAACATAAATTGTATTTAGTCTCTCATGTTAAATCGTATTAAATTAATAATGACTGACTATAGAACAATTAAACAACTTTTTGTAAATTTATATAACGCATCGAGATGTTGCTTTATTTTAACATTTTTTTAAAAGGGAATTATCAATTATGTAATTATTCCGTGTGACAAAACACAAATAAATTATTTTGATCCATAATTATACCGCCCTTTATATAATTACAATAGTTGCTTATATATAAAAAAAATTATATAACGTAAATTATTTAAAGTGTTCATTGTATTTTTATTTATTTGCTCAGAGCACGCGATTTAATTTAGCAATCTACAAAATAGCATAAACGAGCGACATTACGGATTACTTAGGATTACTTAAGAATTTAAGAGGGATACTTAAGAATATTGCGAGTAAAGGTATCAACTATCCGATATAGAATATAATTGCGTTATTACGCAAATGTTGATAGTAAAAGGGGAAACAAATGATTTCAGGGAGCTGAAAGAAATCCAAAATTATTTTTTTAATTCACATATACAGAATATGGAAATATTTCTGGTAATTGTACAAGTAAAATTCAGCATGTAAGCTGAATTTGTAAATTATCAACTTATATATCTACTTATATATCCAATCACTGGACAAACCCATCAATTTTCAGAATCATTTCTGTATTAATCTGTATATGTACATATACCTAACTTAACTTAAAATTTTCTATTACAGTCATTATGATAAGACTCACGTAACGACATTCCATTTGCATTGCAAACCACGTCTGACGGAATGTACTTGCCTTAAGTAATGACATAGTTTTTAAGTCACGACGTTGTATCTGTAGTAGACTAGACATTTATTTAACAGCGATACAATTATTTATTTTTACTCCTAGATACTATATTGTACAAAATTCGGCATTTCACAGTGGATAGATGCTAAGATAATAAAATATCTTATATATCAATCATTAAGCTTTACCTTATTTGGTTTCCACTGAGAAGAAGCAAGTGTTACGATTGCATCACACTTGTATTTGTACGTACACTTTGTTGTTGTTCTTCATTTTGCACTTCACAATCTGTTCACATTATTATACGAAGACAAGACAAACTATTCATGAATCTCCCATGGTTTTTCCGGCCGGTATCTGTCCCAAGAATTTGGATACTGGTATACTTGTGGTTCAGTTAAAATGATGTTATTCTTTTCTAATTCTTTAATCAATAATTCACATTTGTTTCCAGTTAATGCAGCATCAATCTGCATTTCACAGATCCCAGCTTCTAGGCAACGCTGAGCCAACACTCGTCCTATATTAATATAAGCCGAACTATCAGTGGTCCTGAAACATTTGCATTATATCAATAGAATGAAAAAATTAGACGAGATGGTTAATAATAGACAATCTAAATTCAACTGAATCTCAGTACCGATATAATTGCTTCTTCAATGCCCATTCTGCACTGGAAACTGAAACAACTGGCCCATTCTCAAAGTGGCGGACTTCGGCTGTGACATACCGTAGCTTTTTGATCAGGAACAGCCTGTAAATCAGCACAATCGTGACATTATGATTAAATTCATTATAATGAAAGAGGTAACATATGTTTTCATTCATTTAACAATAGAAATGTCTAATAACGAATTCACTTGTATTATACTAAATTAATGCACAGTAAAGCTGTTACATCTATTAAAGATTTGCTTCATATAAAGTATATAAATACAATGGCACAGTGTAATCAACTTTGACAATGAAATAATATATGTATAATAATAAGATTGAAAGACCGCTAATGTTAAACATAATAATTTTAAATTAAGAAGCGCCATAACGGTCAGAACGTTAAGATGTTGAACTATTGTAAATTCATTTTAAATGAATTAATTTCAGAAATGATAATTGCGTGCCGATATGGTTGTCGGACTTTCAACGCAATCAAATCTGAAAATATTAATTATATAATATATGTATATTCTGTCTAATAACATGACAATATCATTATTGGATATTTAATTGTTTAAAATATTTATATATTTTTATATTTAATTTTGTTATTTTCATATATAATAGCTTTTAATATATACTAATCCAGTATAATGCAAATGAATTCACCATTATACTGAAATCAGCAAAGTTAAATACAAAAGCATATATATAAATGTTAACAATTAAATGTCCAATAATGACACTGTCACGCGTTATTTAATAGACTATACATGTTTCATTGTCAAAGCTGATTATATTATATACTGCATTCATATATAGATATTTAACAGATATTTTGTATAAAGCAGCCTTTAATGTTACTGTAGTGTGAATGATTGAATTCATCATAATAAATGATTCGTCACAGGATCATTGTGACTGAACCTTACTTGTGCCAATACATATGTCCGGGTTTGTTAAGATGATAACCGCTGGGTTTTCTCGCTATCCTCAACCGTTCCAAGTTACGCGGATTTCGGTTCACGATCTCCGTGCACGTCTCGATCAATTCCGTATTGCCGTGCAGTTCCCGGTGCACGCGGAACGCGCGAGTGATACCGGCGCGTGCGTTCACCGAATACATGGTCTTTGAATCGTAACACTTGTTATTCTTTACCACTCGAATCTTGGTACTATCGGCTTCCGAGTTAAATGTTGCTTGAATGTTTTTATTTTCTTTCTAAAAAGAATTAATCCAGGTTAGGTTCTCCTTTGACCATCTGTCGGCATTAATCAACTATTTACTAGATTGTCTATACAGAAGAAAAGGAAGAAAATAGGCTGCGTTAGAGTCCTATATATAAAGAGAAGCGACATCGAACCCCCACCACCAGATCGGATTCCTATCGTCACTCCCT